GTGGTCCTGCGTGAGGTTTGAACTGTGCGGCCTGGTCTCGAGTCTCGAGACTGAGCGGCTCGTGCAGTTGCGCCACTGAGATGGTGTTGCGAGGGATACGCCGGCGGCGCTTTACCCCGCGCTATTAGTGCCTCTCGAGTTGGTTTCGTAGCGGTGTTGTTTGCGTGTGGTTCCTGTGTGTTTAATTCTGTATGGAAACGACGTGCCAATGGAGTTCCCCGGAATTGTGATCGCAGGTGAAGTTTTCGGCAGAAGAGTTGCGTGCCATTATGGACAAGAAGCACAACATCAGAAATATGTCCGTTATTGCCCACGTCGATCACGGTACGTGCTTCGTGCTTCCTTGTGAGGTTTGTGCACCGTTTTCGTTCGAAATCATTCTGGTTTATAGATTTGTTGCGTTTCAAGATAGAATTGACCTAAATTTCATCATTCCCTTGTAAATCTTGACACTGTGCTTCAAGTAAACTGACTTGATTTAAAATCTCTCTCTCTCGGGCCAAACAATGGACACATCTAGCATCCTCATCCTGACATATTGCCTCGAAGATAGGTCTTTCAACTTCAGTGAAACTTAAGTCCGTGTGGTAGTAAGTGATCAATACCCGCGGCTGATCTGTGTTCGCTCGCGCACCCCTGTTCACTGTACCGGAGTCCAGATTTCGAACACAAAACCCATAGTAGACGAGGAATTTGAAGAGGAAACCAAAATAGCGGCAACTAACGAAATCAAACAATACGATGAGGATACAACTTGAATGTTCCATAGCCTAACGATTTGACCAGAATTGTCCCACTATTTTCTTATTAACTCAGCTCTTTCCTCGACCATCCCGACGATTACTATGAACTGGACACATTTCTTCCGAGCCGGGATTAATGGGGGTGAGTGGTGGAAATGTGGCAGGGAAGTCGACACTGACGGATTCGCTGGTGGCTGCTGCGGGGATTATCGCGCAGGAGACGGCCGGAGATGTGCGTCTGACGGACACCCGGCAGGATGAGGCGGATCGTGGTATTACGATCAAGTCGACCGGTATCTCGTTGTACTACGAGATGACTTCGGAGTCGCTGAAGGACTACCACGGCGAGAAGGACGGATGCGACTACCTGATCAACCTGATCGATTCGCCTGGGCACGTGGATTTTTCGTCGGAGGTGACTGCGGCGCTGCGTATCACTGACGGAGCGCTGGTGGTGGTGGACTGCGTGGAGGGAGTGTGCGTGCAGACGGAGACGGTGCTGCGACAGGCTCTGGGAGAGAGGATCAGGCCGGTGTTGACGGTGAACAAGATGGACCGATGCTTTTTGGAGCTGCAGGTGGACGGCGAGGAGGCGTACCAGACGTTCCAGCGGGTGATCGAGAGCGCGAACGTGATCATGGCGACGTACGAGGATGCGCTGCTGGGAGACGTGCAGGTGTATCCGGAGAAGGGGACGGTGGCGTTTTCGGCGGGTCTGCACGGGTGGGCTTTCACGCTGACGAACTTCGCGAAGATGTACGCGGGGAAGTTCGGAGTGGACGAGAAGAAGATGATGGAGAGGCTGTGGGGCGAGAACTTTTTCGACCCGGCGACGAAGAAGTGGACGTCGAAGAACACGGGGTCGGCGACGTGCCAGCGTGGGTTCGTGCAGTTCGTGTACAACCCGATCAAGCAGGTGATCAACATCTGCATGAACGACCAGAAGGACAAGCTGTGGCCGATGTTGGCGAAGCTGAACTGCGGGCTGAAGTCGGAGGAGAAGGAGCTGGTGGGGAAGGCGCTGATGAAGAGGACGATGCAGGCGTGGCTGCCGGCGGCGAGCGCGCTGCTGGAGATGATGATCTTCCACCTGCCGTCCCCGGCGACGGCGCAGAAGTACAGGGTGGAGAACCTGTACGAGGGTCCGCTGGACGACCAGTACGCGAACGCGATCAGGAACTGCGACCCGAACGGGCCGCTGATGTTGTACGTGTCGAAGATGATTCCGGCGTCGGACAAGGGTCGGTTCTTCGCGTTCGGGCGTGTGTTCGCGGGGAAGGTGGCGACGGGAATGAAGGTTCGGATCATGGGGCCGAACTACGTGCCCGGCGGGAAGAAGGACCTGTACACGAAGTCGGTGCAGAGGACGGTTATCTGGATGGGAAGGAGGCAGGAGTCAGTGGAGGACGTGCCGTGCGGGAACACAGTGGCGATGGTTGGGCTGGACCAGTTCATCACGAAGAACGCAACGCTGACGGGCGAGAAGGAGACGGACGCGCACCCGATCCGGGCGATGAAGTTTTCGGTGTCGCCTGTGGTGCGTGTGGCGGTGCAGTGCAAGCACGCGTCGGACCTGCCGAAGCTGGTGGAGGGGCTGAAGCGGCTGGCGAAGTCGGACCCCATGGTGTTGTGTATGATCGAGGAGAGCGGGGAGCACATCATCGCGGGAGCGGGAGAGCTGCATTTGGAGATCTGTCTGAAGGATCTGCAGGAGGACTTCATGGGAGGCGCGGAGATCGTGGTGTCGGACCCGGTGGTGTCGTTCAGGGAGACGGTGCTGGACAAGTCGGTGCGGACGGTGATGAGCAAGTCGCCGAACAAGCACAACAGGCTGTACTTCGAGGCTCGGCCACTGGAGGAGGGGCTGCCGGAGGCGATCGACGACGGGCGGATCGGGCCGCGCGACGACCCGAAGGTGCGGTCGCAGATATTGGCGCAGGAGTTCGGGTGGGACAAGGACTTGGCGAAGAAGATCTGGTGTTTCGGACCGGAGACGACGGGACCGAACATGGTGGTGGACATGTGTAAGGGAGTGCAGTACCTGAACGAGATCAAGGACTCGGTGGTGGCGGCGTTCCAGTGGGCGACGAAGGAGGGTGCGTTGGCGGAGGAGAACATGCGCGGAATCGCGTTCGAGGTGTGCGACGTGGTGCTGCACACAGACGCGATCCATCGAGGAGGAGGGCAGGTGATCCCGACGGCGCGTCGTGTGATGTACGCGGCGCAGCTGACGGCGAAGCCGAGGCTGTTGGAGCCGGTGTACTTGGTGGAGATCCAGGCACCGGAGGGCGCTCTGGGAGGAATCTACGGAGTGCTGAACCAGAAGCGTGGTCACGTGTTCGAGGAGGTGCAGAGGCCGGGTACGCCGCTGTACAACATCAAGGCATACTTGCCGGTCATCGAGTCGTTCGGGTTTTCGGGGACGTTGAGGGCGGCGACGTCCGGGCAAGCGTTCCCGCAGTGCGTGTTCGACCACTGGGAGATGATGACGAGCGACCCGTTGGAAGCCGGGACGCAGTCGGCCCAGATCGTGGCGGACGTGAGGAAGCGGAAGGGATTGAAGGAGCAGATCACGCCGTTGTCGGAGTACGAGGACAAGTTGTAAGGAAGGAGGCGCAGGTGGAGCATTGTGTTTTGGGATATTATGCTGGCTGGCGTTCGTTTTGTTGGACAAGCGTTTAGATAGGTGTTGGGTTCCTATTCCAGGGGTCAATATTGAGAGGCAAGGACGCGAGGCCGTGGCAGGTGAATCTTCTTGGATAGTTTGTAAGTAGCCAATGTGCCTCGCAATTTATCCGGCATTCGATAGTTATGGTTGATTTACCGGTCCCATTCATTTGTTATTCTCGTGAATGGAATGGAAGCTGGATGTGTTCTTATCTCATTTATGGTGGATTTATATGCCTGAGCACTGCTAGCTATGTTTCTGATATGAGTGCTACTTCGCACAGTACAGCCTCATTAAATTCGAGGTTTTTGTCTGCAGTTTGTGCTTTTAGTTGTGCTCTTTGTTTGTGCTTTTAGTTTGTGCTTTTAGTTGTGCTCTTGCCTCATGTGTTTGGTTTCGTTCGATTCCCCTGTCGTTCCTGATCCATGGACTTCTTTTTTTGCGGAAATCGTGTAATTTTAATTGGTTAACGTTACAGGAATGGGGATGGTTGTACAGTTTAGCTACCTTTTCCATTGTGTTTTTTCTTGGTTTCTCTTTTTTATGATCAATCATTTTCTCGGGAATATCCCTTTCGGTTCGTTATTGCAAATTGGTGCAGTGAGCGCTGGAAGATTTTGATGGTCAGGTTAAGTGTGCAATGTCGAGTATTGATACCCTTCTCTTATAGATTCCTTTGGAGTTTTTTTCGCGACGTGGTGTGCATCTTATCTAGTTTTTACTGTTTGTGTACAAGTGAAATTGACTCAGATAATTGTGACAACATTTGACAATTACAGTTAATAATGAGTAGGCTTACTCTTAGTGTACTACATACTGTGGTTAATATGCAGGTTTGTGGCAATGCCTTGAATATGCTACAGTCCATTTTTTTTTTTATTACTTGCTTTATTAACTGCCACTATTTATCTGATTATGTTGGTGTGACAAGGAATTGGTCCTTAATACTTAATGGAATATTTATGTTTTAGTAATTTTTCAAACTCGGAACTTCCCCTTAGGATCTGAACTGCTTGCTTTTATGCGATGAACGAAGTTTTTGTCCTCTTTCAAGTATTGCCTGTGTGAAGACTTACAAGGTTGATGGCTGCAATTAACACCAGGTAAGCTGTTCATAAGCGTTACATCGCACTTAGCAAAGATGCGTGACCCTCACATTACGAGTGTGCGGCGGAAAGACGGGACACGCACTTCGCAGTCCTTTGGCACGACATTTCCAGGTGTGATCTATTTTCTAATCCTGTTCTTGTACATATTACGTGGCCGGGGGACTCCCTGACGATACTCGGCTTATTTTCCAGCTTGATCCTCATCAACAAACATTTAAACAGTTGGTTTTCATTTGCTCAGATATTACCTACATACTATCACTGGGTTCAATCATTGCTCAAATAACTTTCATATCAACTATATCAACGAGAGATCTCAGTGTGGGTTTCTAACAAAAGACGAGCAATCATTGTTCTATTAGCTGTCGGCACAACAATCGGGTTATGGGGAATGTAGACGATGCTATTTCATTGACTCGCAAACTCGTTTGAATTTGAAGAACATAATTTTTTGCAAAACTTAATTGTACACGCACAAAATTTGGTGAGAAAAGAACAGATTCCGATGTTCATCACTTCGATAATTGATGGAAGAAAATATATAACATCTAAACATCTAGGAAGTTCTGGTTGATGAACCACGAGTTCATGCGTAAAGTTAACAACGGATCTTCCTAGGCTCAGACCTAGATTTCACAAATGAAAACTTGAGCTCCGAGAAAATGAACTTTGGAATGGTGATACAGTCAACATTGACCAGCCTAAAATCTTCCCCACTGATCTTCCATGCACAAGACCTCTACTAGTTCTTTAACAGATTATTTCACAAAGTTGAGGTTAGTTTACAAACCGCATCTAGATTGCGAGCTGTAATCTTGCACTTTTCTCCCTCCGCTGCTGCAGCATCTCCCGGCCCTCGTGATCCCAGTAGATTGGATGAGCTCGAAGAGATTCGTAAAAGCTCATAGTTGATTTCGAAGAAGGTATTTGCTCTGAAAATCTAATATTTGGCTCTGTCGCATAATCGGACAGGTTGCGCCCAAGTGTTCCTCCCTCTGGCCAATAAACTAGCTAGAACGAACTGGCTCCACGTGTCTGGAACTCCCGGTAGGCAGAAGTGGCTGCAATCCTGCCGGTTTCTGGGCTTTAGCCCGAATTTTTTCGTGTCCCATGTGTACAATGCACCGTGCCCATCGGGCCTGTAGTTCGTCGCAGTCGTAATGTCCAAATAAGTGACCGCATCCAGCTTCTTCTTTATGTTGGCCATGAAGGATTCCTTCACAATCTCGTTCATCCACGGGGTTTGCCACTCGTTGCGAGCTTCCTCCTCAGTGAGAGGGCGCTTCTCCTGGTGACAATGCCCTCCTCGGTTCCATGTTCCACCCCTGCAAAGTTCTCATGAAAACCTTCTTTATAACAAACTCAAAGATTCGATCGCATCAATTCGAGCAGAAACGGCGAATGACGACGGTGAGCATGACGTAGGGTAGAATTCTCAATCACCTGAAATGGACGGTCGGGTAGCTCAGCCAAAAGACTTGGCTCTTCTTGGTGTCCAGGTTCTCCTCCAGCCAAGCCGCCCATGTGTGCAATGCTTTCTTCAATCCGGTTCTCAAGTCGTAATCCATCAGCTTGTCGCCTACCTGAAATTTACAACCTCTGTGGGCCACAGATGCAACGGGTTTCATTCAGAATCTCTGCATTGTAATACGCAGCCCTTGTCATTCGAAGAGCGTGTTTTTCAAGAATCATGACTTACTGGTGAAATATTTTGTGTTCGCTCCACCAATGGCCCGCGTTAAAGATAATGATCTCTGCATGTCTCCACTGCTCCGTGCTGTAACTCACGCGGTCCACTTTCAGTGAGCACGACACGTTTGCTGGTGAGTTACGCGGGGGACGACCTTGGGGGACTAGGAACGGATCCCGGTAGTATTCAACGGTACAGTTGTAATCCTCGAACTTGTACACCAACTTACCGGAATGCTTCGTGATCGGCTCCCCGTTCACTTCATAAATACGGCTCTTGTTGGTTACCCCCTCTGCGAGCATGCACAACATCGATTCCCAGTTATTTCGTCCCAAGGAATCTCCAACGAAGACCATCCGTTGGCCTCGAAGCCGCTCTAAGATATCCGTCGCGCAGAACCTATCACCAAGTCTCAAGATTCTCAAAGTCTGTCATTAAAAAGTCCTGCACTTCTAAGATAACTGCACAAATACGAGATCAAAGTCATGCCTACCTGGGAAGATCACAGTCATTCGGGTGCCAGCGGTAAGACATGAACTCCTTGTCAGGTCTCCCATTCTCCTCGCATCGAAAACCCGGATCCGCGAAAGGGCAATTTTTAGTGCGGTACAAGGGGTGCGTGACGTTGTCGAAAACCCAGCGACCTTGTGTGATATCGCATCCTGCCAACGACCGTGCTTCTTGCGGTCTTTCCCTCACATTGAGCTTGGACTTTATGATTGGGTCCTCATCATCTTTAGACGTGGAGGTGTCCTGGGTGGTGGAGATAGTGAAATTGTCCCCTCCGATCTCATCTCCATCGACCTCCGGAACGGCAATAAACGCTTGTTCTGTAGCTTCTACCTCCACATGGTTGGGTCCACCGTCTTCTGAGTCTGAGGATGGTTCAATTGTTATTCCAGACGCTTCTGTTTTGATAGAGGACATATCGTTGTGCGCGATTGGCTGCTTGAAGGCCGTGACATGGACAAACGGCGTTGATACCTGAGCAGCAGAGTCGTCTGAAGATTCTTGAGTCGCGGATGAGGCCATATTAAAGTCCTGTTGAAGGAGGACAGGTTTCGCGGCTGATGTCATGCCAGCTTTACGGTACACTAACTCCATGTCTAAGAAGAAGAAACAAACAACGAACATGAACGCGAAGGTGACCATGAAGACTGTCGAGGCTCCAATTGAGAAACAGCATGCCTTCCGTCCTCGAGAGACCCCTGCTTCGCTGAGTCTGCGCGTTTGAGGCCTTGCAGCCATCTCGAACGGATTAGAGAAGCTGATCCGTTCCAATCAATCGCAAGCTTCCCCAGGTAAACTGTTTGCACACCTCAATCTAGGAAGCCCGTGCAGCATCGAGTTTGCAGAGCAACGGGAACCATGCTCATGACATACTGTGATAGAAAAAAGCGTCCTCTGTCAAAAAAACAAATATGGTATACTTACATAACCTGCCCCTCTTTCTCGTGAAAAATGACTCCCAGGGATATATCATGAATTTTAACACTGCACTCATTCAAGATCTCAACAATATGCGGTCATTTGATAAGAACTTGGGTGCTAAAATGCCCAGGCAATTCTATCCCAAGGCGGTCATGCAAGTACCGAGGGTCCAAAATGTCCCCTACAAAGACGTTCGAAGATCTTGATACAACCAGCTGGAGCTTGGCCTGAGAGGTAGGCGGCTCAGGTACTGTGCGGATGAAGAGGTGGATGTGGGTTATATTCGTCAATGAACTGGAGCACCGAGCGATTTGCAGTTTCCTACTTTAAAGTTCAGTCTCTGTTTGAAGGAGCTTGGTATTCAGAGCCCGCCGCTGGTAGTCCTAAGATAATGTGCAGGCAAGGAACGATACTCTTGAAATGACCGTAAACCCTTCTCTAGCATACTGACCACATACACGTGGTGTAGCAGGGTGGCAGACAAACAGTCCTTTTCCCACCAAGCAACCCCTTCTCTACCTCCAAGAGCAACATGAAAGTTTTACTCGTTAATGCGAAAGTTCGCATAAAATAACATGGAATACTATAACTGTCATTCCGGAGCACGGATTTAGGAGCGTCCTAGCCTTGAGGAACAGTCCCACATGACACGCTTTGTATTGGATTCCGCACGAGAAACCCAACGATGCTACCATCTACCAGAACCCGCCAAGGCCACGCAGGAGAAAAAGCTGCTGAGGATCTCTAGTACCATAACAAACCGGAAAGTCGCAAATGCCCACGAATGCTGTGGTGATCAGCGCCACATATATGATCACCACAGCAACAGCAAGGAAAATCTCACGGAAACTCCCCAAGGAGTTGGTGAAGAAGAAACTGGGAGCGCTTTAAGGACCGTATTGCTCAGCGGCCGACACGCGAATATCCCTTCCCTGTTTTTCCTTTTGAACGACTTTCCAGATTTGCAATATCTCCATCATTCAAACCGTACTTCGCTTCGATCACATCTCCCTCGCTGTGAGCAATTCCAGCCTGTTTTTAGCCACGTTTGTGGAGCACGTTCCCTCCATAGTTATTCCTCCATGTCAGCCAATGCTTCAGCGACACTGTTCGGTATACGGATCGCACTAGCATACTAGTCTCCACCGCAAGGGAGCAAGCATAATCGGTACGGTCCTGATGTTGAACTCATCTAGGCACACTAGCAATCGACCGCGACTAAAATTAACTCTGATTGCCCAATCAGTTGACTCCAATAGCAACTGTAAATACAAACATGAATCTAAATAAATAGACAGTTATGGAATCTTCTCTAGAAACCACTCCCGGGGATCCACTACCGGTGCTCTGGAAACTGGCCTACCGCACGAAATTCAGGTTTCAGGATCGAACAAGAGCGCATCAGTGATCGAACAAGAGCGTAGTTGTTGCCCTCGGAGCTTTGCTGGCAACAGTGTGTCTCGCTACGCCGCTCCCACTCTCCATCGCGATGTTACGTCGGTGAAGGATGCTTCAACGAATGAAGCTGCAACCATCGGTCTGATTTCGTCCATTTCGCTCACGACATTCGTCGCTTTGGTCAACTTGGAGGGTCATGAGCTGCTCCGAAATAACCCCAAGGCACCCCAAAAGTACCATAGAAAAAAGAAAAGAAAATTTAAAGGTGTACCATGTAATAAACTTCCATTCTTTTTCCTACTTCCTGAGTACAGTGGATTGTGTGGCCTGTTGTTGGATTGACCTCTTGATGGGCACAAAGAGTGGAAGACTTTGGCAAGCAACCTTGAAGACCATCCATAAGGACATCTAGAACAAAGTGGGATGAAGCCAATTACATGCATGTTTTGGCGACACACACCACCAAGCTGTGACACGTCAAGTTTCCATTTGTGACCCACCATTTGGCTAATTGGTGAGGTGACAATTCTTGTGCTGTGGAGCAGCTGCCATGTGTACTCCACACATTGATGGGGTAGTGGAACAAACCAGGTATTGGTTTGAGGGATTCTTCCTGAAGTTCTGGATGGTTCTCCCACGGAAGTGAATTCTTTTTTCCATAAATAATAACAATATTATTATTATTGTTAATATTCTTTTCTCTTTCATGTTTTGTTTTGGAAATCAGCAAACCTGGCAAGCTCTGGAAGTGCCAGGTGTGAGGGCAATGCTAGGTGGCATGTCAAGCATCTGTCAACAAGGAGACAGCCCTTTGACTATTCTAAATCACGCACACACACAAGTATACATATATGTACACACAACATGTGTATAATTATGTTTCTGTTGTTTGTATATGTGAAGTTTGGATGAACTTTTTGCAATATTTATGCAAGACTTATAACAAACTTTTGAATAGTATGACATTCTTAAATGCTCTATATCTATATATGTATATGTGAGTTGACTGTGCTGACTATGACAAGATTTGAATCTGTCAAATGAATTGGTTGCTAACTTTAATAACATCTTTGTGCAAAAACTACTTGAACTTTTATAATCCATGTAATCAATTTTAGATGTTCAAGTATTTGTAGAAATATTCTTGAGCATTTAACAACAAAAAGAATTTGGCAAAAATCTCCACCAAAGATTATAGTAATTCTTCTAAATAACTTCTTAGTATCATCTATGTCTTGGAGAGTTCTATTGATTGCCTCAGCATAGTGGTGATGTTGCATTGGTATCTCATCTCAAATAATAAGAACTATCTTTCTTAGCACATTTGCATATGTTGCATTCTTTATAATATTGCAAAACAAAACTTCATCAAAATCGAGATTTTTTTAAAATATAGAGTGTACAATCTGTCAACCACATAAAAGTTTTTTTTTGCCGCTCTCCACAGGCTAAGACTTCTTCTACATCATCATTTGGATCAAAAATTACTTGATGCATTTTAAAAATATGCCATGCCAATCAAACCACATTTGGAACTTCTTCACGCATTTTCATTCCAAACAAACAGCATATTGTCTCTGGAGCTCTAATATATTGTGGATCAATATATTTCTTGACTTCATCTTCTTTATTTCCAATTTGCATTGTTGTACAATCATGTCCCTTATAGATATATTTCAAAATATATTTCACAATACAAACTAAAGCATAAACTTCAATGTTAATATGGCAATTATACTTTTTTGCTAAGAGTAGGATTGTATGTAACATCTCTATTATCTACAATATCATTGCTAATGTTGAAAGTTCTTATATTATTTTTTCTATGATATTGGAGATAGCCATTAATATCCATTGATGTTACTTCTTGATATTCTTTTGGATATTTCTTTTGACATATTCCATCCTTCATGCATGGAATTTGCATATATTAAGGTCCACACAGACTATGAACCATGCAAGTGTTAATTGTTTCAAATAACAATGGATCTTCTTTTTTAATAGGAAACTTTGTACAAATAATTCTACCAACATCAACTGATTTCTTACTTTGTAGTTTTGTTCAAAAAATAATAAAAAATATATTTTGTAGAAGACATTGCTTCTAAAACTCAATAGTATGCACTTTTGGAAGTGCATGTTTTAAAATGTAATGTTTACAAATATCTTTAATTAATACATGATATTTGAATTTAAATATTTTTGCTATCAAGTCAAGACAATCTTTCGATCTTTGTCCTAAAAGAAGTACAGTTGAGATCTTTGGCGATTGCAAATTTGCAATCATTGTACCAAACATGTGTGGATGTTAAAAGTATCAAGTAATAGCCATAGAAAGAACAAAAGAATTATCCTTTGCCTTAAATTTTGCATATCAACTTCTTGGTTTTGCACATCTCCAAAAATATTTGTCATTTCTTGATATACATTTGTACGTAATTTGTTTTGATTCATTCTAATATATTTCAATTGATTATACTTTGTTGTTATTCAAGTATCCATAATAAATTCTTCTAGCAACTTTCCACCTTGTAAGATAGTTGAATACTAATTATATTGAGGAAATAATTGATATGAATGAAATTCCATTTGAGTAATACGTGCATTGTTTAAATTTTTATCTCCATCTTTATTGGCATTTATATCTCTATGTTTCATTTGATCATACCATCTAAGTTCTTTACATAGAAAAAAAAAGAAACATAGTAGAGTGGTAAGTATGCAAGATGTTCTTTATAAATTCATTGCAATACACCTCTTCTCTATTGAACAACTATATTTCTCATTCTTTTTGCCTTTGTTCCATTGCGCAATATAACAATTGCAACTTCATTAGAAGTCGGAAGATTATAACCTCTTCTGTTAGTATTATTACTAAAATGAAGATGTATGCATATATTATCATTGCTCTCTCTTCTTTCTGGTGCTTTAGACAATATTTCATAAGCTTGTGAACAAAGTGGAAAAAATACGTGATGTTCTTTCAAATATTCTTGAAGCTCCGGTATTGTTTAAATTAACAAATTACCATTACGTGCCATCCTTGCTTCATATGTAATATTAAGGCCATAAATATAAAGTTGCATATAACTTACATCTATATCTTCTTGTCCTAAAAGAGTACCTATTTGATATCAAAGCTTTTCATGTATGCAAAAGCTATACAGAGTAGATCCTTGTAAGATAATATTATCAACTTTTGCACTAAGACATAAAAATATATGTGTAGTATTGTATTATTAAATAGTCTTTCAAAAAATCTAACTTGTTCATCTTGTCCATCAAGTTGTTATTTAATTAACAATATAAGATTTTAAAGAAAGAAAAGTTGAATCTTTCCATATAGATAATATATACTAAATTGTAGATTTAATGTTGTTGATAGAATAGTTTAGTCATCCATCTAATGAAGTGCCTTGCATTATAGGCATTGAATGTCCATATTTCAAATATCATGACGACCTTCCAATCTTTTTCTTTCATTATGATGTTCATAAAAAAATTGATCTACTTATTCAATAATTTCTTTTGTTCTATTATATTTTCTTACTTCTTCTTTTTGTTGTGCACATGAGATTTCTTCCTGCCATGTCCTTTGCTTAGTTTGTATCCTATAGCAATTTTGATGATTAATATCATTTCTCTCTTCTTCATTTCTTTTAAGTTTTCTTTTATGTTGTTGATTAATTTCTCTTCAATTATGATTAATATTATCATCTATAATGCTTATACCTTCTCTCTGATCTCTTTCTTAATTTCTTTGACATTTTTAAAAAACTACTCTTAGATAAACTATTTTAATTTTTCTTTGTCTTCTTTCATATTCTCTATGCTATTTTTGAGCATTTTCTTTCCAATTACTTTCTTTTATTATCAAAGCTAGCTCACTAATAACATTATGGATTCAACTAAATAATCAAATTGAGCTTGTTCTAAAAATTATAAAAACAAACTTACATACTTCAAAATTATATGCTGATAAAATTTCAATAAAGCCATGTTGTTTAAGTACTTGAGCAAGATTTCATAGTAGATATAAAATAAAAATTAAAGCATATAACTTAATCAATCAAATAATAATGCCACAAATCTTTGATAATATGTTATAATAATATAAAAATAAAGATCTATATATTTCTATTGAATAATAAAATAAAAATAAAAATATGAAATATTATAATAATAAAATAAAAAATAAAAAATAATCTTAAAATTAAATAAATTTTAAATAAAAAATAATATCTAAAAATAAAAAATTCAAAAATTCCCTTTAAGACACACAAATTCAATCCAACTAATATTTCACCAATTTAACAACAAATCCAAACATCAAACCAAAAAAAAAAGAAAAAGAAAAAAGAAAAACAAACAAATGAACAAACAAAAAAACAAATAAACTGACAAACTCAAAAGAAAAAGAAAAAAACACAAAAACAAAGTATTATATGATAAAAATAACTGACTCAATTCAACACTTTTTTTTAATTGGGTTTGATTGTTTGCTTTAGTAAAGCTCAAAAATAGGCTACAATCACTAAACTACATATCAATTTCACCTGTTATTGTATACAATGTGCTTACAAAAACCAGGTCTACGTTTTTTGCTACTCACTACAACACTTCAGCATTTTAGCATTTCACCACATCATAAAATATTTTTGGGATATATTCCACAGATATCATAAAATATTGTGCTTAATACAACACTTTCAATCCATTATAAATCCAAGCGTTAGTATTATAAAATATCATAAAACATTTGTTGGTTTGTTCGATAGAATTAGAACTTTAGTCTCTTCAAAGAAATATGTATTGCAAAGAAATATGCTCAAACATGTCAACGAACAAATCTTATGCTTTGCTATGAGTGTGAGCTTTTTCCTACTTTTTGTCGATATCGTTCTTCTAGGAATAGCTTGCTAGTGTCAAGGAAGTGGCAAGTCATATTCTAAAATACTAAGAATATAATGCGATTAGCACAATGCAAATGAGCACAATGTGATT